CTTTCAGTGTGCAGACCTTCGAGGATGTGGGATGGCAGTCTCGCCAGGAGGAGGAGTACAGGCAGAAGGTGGGATCCCTGCAGTTCGCGGCCTGTACCACCCGTCCCGACATCTCGTTCGCCTGCAGCAAGCTGGGGTCGGGCCAGACTGTTCGGAGTGATCAGCACTGGAAGGAGTTGGACAGGTGCTTGACGTACTTGGTGGGGAGCAGGGATGTGGCGCTGGAGTTTGGAGGTGGGCCGGAGTCCTTGGAGCTGGTGGGCTACGCCGATGCTGATGATGCAGGGGACAAGCAGAACAGGACCAGCACAGGTGGCTATGTCCTCGTGCTTGGGGGTGCTGCTGTCTCATGGGCGAGCCAGAGGATTCGTTGCGCCACCCTCTCCTCCACTGAGTCTGAGTATGTTGCTGCTGTGGAGGCCGGGAAGGAGGCGCGCAGGCTGCGCTTCCTGCTGGCAGAGTTTCAACTGCTGAGGAGTGAGGAGCCCACTACTCTCTTTGTGGACAACTCCTCCGCCATTTCAGTGGCAGGTAGCTTGGGGCTCAAGGGGAGCCTCAAGCACATGGAGCGTCGCCACATGTGGCTGCAGCACATGGTCAAGCGCAGGAAGCTGCAGCTGCAGTACATCCCTACGGGCGAGCAGCCTGCTGACTACCTCACGAAGGCATTGCATTTCCCCGCCTTCAGTCGTTGCTTCGAGGCTGTGGGGCAGGTGAGGCTTTCGAGTGAGGGGAGTGAGACCTAGACACTCCATGATGTGGATGGTGCCATGGCCTATCCATGGCTGGTGCGGTGCGTGTGTGCACTTTGAGAGTGCTTCGTTTGTGTGTGTTTCCCTTTGTTTTGGCGTGTATGTGTGTATGCATGCCCTGTGATTATAAAGGGCCTTGCTGTAGTATGGCAGGGGAGTGTTGGAGGGCCCTACGACAGCAAGGGCCCTCACGAAGCTGTTGACTCAGTCGTATGCGGTGGGCGACTACTAGCGTTGACAACACCAACTCGGGAAAGACGGTGGTCACGCATTGACTAGCAGCAGCTGCGATGGAGCTTGTGCTAGTCTATGGGAGTCTTGCGAGCCTTCCTTGCAAGGCACGCCACCTCCTAGCAAGTTTGTGGGTGTCTTGTATGGTGTAGCCGAGTTGGGGTTGGTGTTTGGTGGTGTGACGTGTTTGGCGAACCATTCCGCTGCTGAGTCAGGTTGGAATTGGCCGAGGCGCGGTTCACCCACCCTCGCGACACTTTCGTGTGGGTTGGGTTACTGCGCAGCGCCACGGCAACTTTGTGCAACTCTCCAAACTCTCCCGTAGCCTATATTTGCTTGTGTGTTTGCTTGTGTGTTCAAAATATATTCTATTTTCCTAGTGAAGTCCAAACGCTACTTCAATTCTCACTAAGTCCTTAGACGCGAACGCTACCGAAACTCTACCAAGTTGCTGACGCAACATTTCCCTAGCAGAAACTCTCTCGTTATCGCTACGCTCTATAATATATTCCTTCATTGGTGCTCGCTCCGCCATAACGAGTCGCTCCCGAGACTCGGCCATCACTGTTCTGGCGTACGTGGCGTCACCCCCACCCGGGCTGTTCCACGACATTCTTTGGCGTTCGTTTTTTCGAGAGCAGCGAAGCACTCTGGTGCTGCGAATGTCGTCAGTGGGTGCCTGCGCCGGGGAGCATCACATCACGACATCGTGAGGCTGAGGACGTAGATCTACCAAATCCGACGGTAATCACGGATTTGGCTGTCAGGAAGGACTACCGACTGAAACAACATTTTTTTATGACGCTACGGGATGCAAATCGAGACGGGCTAGGAGAGGTGGTGCGAGCATTCATCGAGCATGGCGACAGCTGGAGGGGTGCGCGGGAAGAATTCGGTTGCTTGCACACATGCACTAGTGGTGGCGGGTCTGGCCTCCATGTCTGGAGAGGAGATGGGTGAAAGGGATGGAGATGGGCGAGGGAACAGAGGCGTGGGGTTGGATCTGGATGCGCGAATTTCATTCAAGTTGAGCTGATTTCGCCAGCATGTGTGACCTGAAACAGCGTTTCGCCAGCACAGAAACCAAGCTGCCTTGCTGGAAGCCCATTCGTCGAGTATCGCAATTCTTGCTCGCCGACTTCGCCCTCCAAACCATCCTGCAAGCAGAACTTCGACATAGTTAGTAGTCGTTCTACACAAACATCTAGATCGTAAGAAGAGGTGACTCGAATTGCCTCCACGGAACCAGTACGAACGGCTGCGCCGTTCCCTCGCCCATTCGTAGTGCCATCATCTTTCGCACGGGTCGCGTCCTCCCGTCACTTTTCTCCGCCTCGTCTCCGCCCCATTCCCGCGCAACACTCTCGGAAATGGCTAAGCCTCGCCATCATCACGCACCACGCACTGCAGATCGCCTCACCCGCGCCGCTGCTGATTCACTTCGAGAGCCGTAGGATCAGACAGCATCAGAAACCCTAAATAGAGGTGAGCGGCATCTCACGTTTCCCCGGTCGGCTCCGCATTGCAAGCATGAGGCTCACAGCCCACGAACCATGGCGCTCGTAGTTCTGTCTGGCCAATGGGCAGCTTTTGGTTACATACCGAATCCCTTGCGAATTCTTCACACCGCCTAGACACTAGCAAAGCCCCTTGACGCAGTCTTGCTTAGCATTGTTGTCCCAGCCCCTTCCCGTGCTGATTTTCCTCGCCCTGGTCCATATATTCATGCTGCCACTTCCAGGCTCTGACCGGGCTAGTCTGTGACACACCCACCTAGGCGGTGAGTGACCCAACCTATGCCTTACTTTGCGTTTGGCTGACCCCGCTTGTGCCTGACCTGGGGACTGACCTAGCTTGTGACTGCCATAGCTTCCGACTGACCAATTTTGTAAATGACCCAGCTTGTCGCTTACCCAGCCTGTGATCAACATAGCCTCTGACTTAACATAGCTCCTGACTGACCTAGATTGTGCGGCAGCTAGTTCCTGATTGACTTGGATTTTGACCGAAATAGCCAGTGAGTGACCTAGTCAGTGAGTGACCTAGTGTCAGGCTTTGTTATTGACCTAAATTGTTAGGGACTTGGCCTTTGTTTGAATCGGTTTGTGCTTGACCTACCAGGTGACAGACTAGCTGGTGACCGATCTAGCCTCTGTTTGACCTACCTCGTGACTGTTCTAGCCTCCAGCTGACCCATTTTGTGAATTACCTGGTTTCCGGCTGATCTAGCATCATTGACCTAGCCAATGATTGACCGAGCCAATGATTGACCTAGCCAATGACCAGCCAATGATTGACCTAGCCAATGATTGACCTAGCCAATGATTGGCTTAGCCAATGATTGACCTAGCCAATGATTGACCTAGCCAATGGTTGACCTAGCCAATGATTGACCTAGCCAATGATTGACCTAGCCAATGATTGACCTAGCCAATGATTGACCTAGCCAATGATTGACCTAGCCAATGATTGGCGTAGCCAGTGACTGTCTAGCCAATGATTGCCTAGCCAGTGATTGACCTAGCCAATGATTGACCTAGCCAATGATTGCCTAGCCAATGATTGACCTAGCCAATGATTGACCTAGCCAATGATTGACCTAGCCAATGAGTTACTAACCTCGGACTGACTGACCTGATCTGTGACTGACCTAGCGTATACTGCCCTAGCCTGTGAGTGGCCTAGCTGTGTCCGACTTTGCGTGTGAGTGACTTGGCTGTAACGGACCTAGCCTGTATGTGACCTTGCTATAACTTGTCTAGCTTGTGAGGTCCTGATTCTGTATGCGACCTACTTCTGACTGGCCCAGCCCCTGACCACCAACGTGTGAGATGGTCCTAGTTGTCACATTGTCTAATTCCGACCAATACCTAGTTCAGAGCCTTCAGGTCACCCCCCCCAAAAAAAAAACCACTCTGCTTACTACTACCAACCAATGACCCCTCCCGACCACTTGGACTCTCATTCCATAATTCGTGAGCAATGGCTGAGTCGAACCATGCTCGCTGCTACCCGCTTCACCCCGCTTTGTGTGGCCAACCTCTGACTACCAATACCAAGCCAAGCGTGGCTCGCTCCGAGCCAAGTTAGTGTGTGTCTCCGTCATGAGGCTCGAATATAATGGCCGAGTTGAGGAAGCTCTCATCTCAGCAGCAAGCTGCCGGGCTCGCCCCAGCCTTGCGACTCGCGAGCCACCCTGTCCCAACCTCCTCCAGGTATAATCAATCAACCAGCTTAAAGGATTCTGCATGTCTCACGCTCCTTGCCCACCTCAGGCAACGGATGAGCTTTGAAAAGGACCTCTTGAGTGCATCAGATCTGACCTGTAAAGTGTGTACTAGAAAACCAGCACAACCAGAGTCGCACTGGTTTCGTGTCAACCTCGTCCTCTCAAGCTGACCAACTCTTTGAGAGCCGAGTGGAATCTCAAGCTATGATGAAAGTCGACTTCTGGAATCTTCCGATTCGGCTCAAAGAGCACCTTTTCTTAGAGAATCCCCACCTCATGAGCCAGAGTCTGCGAGTCTCTACCCTTCAACCTTTGTCCGCCTTGCTGCAACATTCGTAGTGTCCCTTTTCTGCAGTCCTTATTAGTGGTTTTTGCCACTCCTCACACCTTCTCCTTTTCTCCTTTACATGGCCTGGCCTTCCCTTGTTCCGTTGCCACCTGACATCATGCCGAATGCATTTGTGTCAGCACAAGCTGCTTCTCCTTTCACTGCTGGTCCAAACATGTGCTCAATCTCTTCTCCCTCATCTTGTCATCAATTCTCCACATATTTATTGATTTGCATTGCAATCTTATTAACCCATTTTACACTGCTCATCCGTCATTTTGTTACCACATGGCAAGTAGCTTCTCTCACGCATCACTGTGTAAAGCCACGTGCTGTTACTTTATCGATTCATGTTCTGCCCGCCTGTCCTCCTGTCTTATGTTACACTTTCAGGTGACTCTACGCTTCTCTCTATTAGGCAATTCTGGGTTTCATGTCGGATCAGCTGTCTGGGCTCGAGATGCTGCCGTGTGAAGTTTCAGCACCGCACGCGGCAACAGACGGGGCAAGAGAGGCCATGGAGATGAGGCTGAAGGCGCTGGAAGGGCAGCTGGAGGAAACGAGGAGGGGGTTGGAGGAGGCTGAGAGGATCAGGGCAGCAGAATTGGTACTATTGAAAGGGGAGCTGCTAACAGTGCGAGGCGAGCTGGTGACAGTAAGGGGGGAATTGCTAACAACGAGGGGTGAGCTGGCGACAGTGAAGGGGGAGCTGGACGCTCTCAAAGGTACTTTGTTAGGGCCGAGAAAGGAGTTTGCTGAACAGAGGGAGTGCGTGCAGGAAGTGAAGGAAAAGCTGGCTTTTGAAGAGGAGGTGAAGGAGCCGAGGAAAGGAGTGAGCTCGGATGAGGCGGCAGCGATGTCATGCCCAACAGCGAAGCATGTGGAGTTTGATGTTGAAGAGGAGCTCAGGATGCGCCGAGGGATTCATAGAATGGTTTGGCAGGTGAGTAAGGGACTGGTGGCATTGGCTGCCAGATGAATGGATTAATGGAATACCATATGTCTTTTGGTATGGTTTCAACTGTTGCTGCTTCAAACAACTTTTTTTTTGTTCCATAATTCGCAGAGGTTTCGTGCGACCACGACATTAGATCTGAAGGGGCTTCCTTACCTCTCAGAGGCTATCCTGGGCCACGTGTCCACTATGACTCACCTGAAGCGCATCACTCTCGATGGGTTAACACCGTTCAGTCCAAAAGGAATCAAGCACCTGTACATGACGCAGCTGGAGAGCCTCGAGCTGACCAGCAATGCCATAACAGACAGCTGCTTGGAAGGCATTGGAGCAGCAAGAAGCCTCAAGTCTCTCTATCTCAATGGAACCGCCGTAACTGATGCTGGTCTGCAATTTCTGGCACCTTTGAGCAGGCTCCAAGTGCTTGTTCTTCCAAGTATGATCACGGATACTGGCCTGGAGAACATCCAGTGCTTAACTGCTTTGGAAGGGCTGGATATATCGAATTCTATCGTGACAGAAAAGGGTGTGGCGCTACTCAAGGGCTTGCCTCGTTTGAGGCTGATTAGGGCGGAAGGTCGCGGCTTGCATGCACTCGTGTTGAGCAACCTTCCTGGAGTAGAACTGGTTAGTGTTGCTCTTAGTGATATGAATGACTAGGAATGGCTCAGTTTCCATTGCTTCAACTATGTCATTGCTGGCAAACCCACTTTCTGGACATCCATGACTATTCTACCGTATGTTCACGGTGCCTACCCTTTCTGAGCTCAAAGGTCGTCGAGGAAGAACAATAATGTCGGATCACATTGTGGGGTTTGTATGCTGCAATGGCTGCTTCCGCATCACACGCCGTCACTTCGTCCTCACTTCGTCCTGCAGCAGCATAATTTCAAGCAGCTTCTCAAGCCATTCCTCCTCCGCCTTCGCTCCACCCTCCTTGTCCCCTCCCTCTGCAACCCACTCCCACAAGCCCTGCCGCAGCTTGAAGGCCAGCAGACCATTGCCTGCACCCACCTGCCTGCCGCGTGTGGGAGGGGTGAGAAAACAAATCATTTTCACTTCTGTGCCTCGCGCTCCTCTGTGTCTCACCCCCTTCTGCACATTTGCACCCCCACCCCACCCCCCCCACTCCTCTCCCCTCCCCCCCCCCCCCCCCCCCCCCCCCCCCCCCCCCCGCGCATGCACACCCCACCATGCCACTCTCCAACTCCCACAACTGGCATCACTCCCACTGCCTGCGCACCCCTCACGCCGCTGCTTGAAATTACGCTGCTGTTGCTGCTCCTCACTGTCCCCGCCGCTCCTCGCCTGCTCCAGTGGCTGCCTGCCATGTGGCAGGCCAGGATAGCCTGCCAGCTGTGAAGTCCTTCCACTGTTGGCATCCGTGGCATGTGCAGGATAGGACACCACGCCCCCTTGCATGATCTGAACTGCCGCGCCAGGGATGAGAGGAGAGGGGAGTTAACACGGGACACAGTGGCATGGGGCGATGGGAGAGGTCAGGGACGGGGGGATGCAGGTGAGCAGGGGGGTGAGTGGGGCCGGGATTTGGGTGGAGGGGAAGGGGATGAGCAGGGGGGGTAAAGCAGGGAAAGCATTGACATGTGGATGAAGGAACTTCACTCCCAGCAATTGAGGAGGGGATGGGGGGAGACCAAGCGGCAAAGGATACCACACGGAATGCAGGAAGCTATGGGAGGGGGGCAAGGCCAAAGGAGCCGGTCGGGAAGGGGAGGGGGAAGAGGACTGAGGGGAGTAACAAATTGATGGAGACCGCGCGAAGTGCAACGAGCAGACGGAATGATGGAGGGGAGGGAGTCAGAGGAGGGGGGAGAGGGATTCAGAGGAAAAAGGCGCGGGCAGAAGGGCTGGCGAGTGAAAGAGAGGTATGGTGAGAGTGCTGTTAGCCGTGCAGGTGCACGATGAACGCCGCATGCAAGGATCCATGGGATGGGTTGGCTGACAGGTGCAGCAGTGACCCGGTGGGCACAGAGGGGCGAGAACGGCAAGGAGGCAAGGCCAGGAGGGCGAATGGCAACTGGGGAGGAGGTGGGGCAGGGAAGAAGGAGAGACGGATGGAGGAGCGATCATGATGTGCTTCAACGGAATGGCTGTGCTGCCGTGCTGGCTCTAAAGCAAGGCAGACTCGCATCGGCAGGGCTTCACCTCATTGGCTGCGTGCATGATTGCACGGACAGAAGCGGGGTGGAGAGGGAGGAGGTATAGGGGGGGAGTAGAGACGTGAGAAGAGGAGGATGACGAGAAGGAGCAGCGACAGTGCGGTTGCGGGGGCGGAGGGAAGAGGGTGGGTGGGTCTGGTAGTATTCCCCTCCCCCTTTCCCTCCCACCCTCCTTCCTCACCAACCACCAATCAGGTAACGGACATTATCGCTGGAATGGGCAGATCGGCGTGGGGGGACTGCGGGCGAGTGAGGCAGCAGTCCCTGCTTGCGCTGCTGCCTTTGCAGGAACCAGAGCACTGCATCGACCAAAAGATTGCATATGCGCATTTGACTGAAGCTGCAGTGCAGAGGGGGGAGCGCGGCGAGGGGGGTGAGGAGCAGGGAGTGCAAACGGGGGAGGGGTGGAGGGGGGAAGGGGGCCAAGAATGGAAGCAAGATAATGGGTGCGAGGAATAAGACAAAAGCAAAAGAGGCGGGGCAGGGGGTGAAGCACAGTTACCTTTGTCATGTGTGCGCGGGGAAGCTCACCCATCTCACTAACGAAACCACCTCTCAGAGAAACAAACCAGGAAAATATGAGAATTTTGAAAACTACCCTGTAAATATCCAGTACCCACCTTTGCTAGCAACCCATCTTTGCCATGAACCCATCCACCTCTGCGAGGAAGCCGATCCAGCAGCGTGGTTGGAGCAGGCCGGGCAGGTGAGCAGCAGCGTGGTGGGGGGTTCCATGGCCCGCGATGGTGGCGTGGTTGGAGCAGGCCGGGCAGGTGAAGTTACTCGTGTTCGCCACCATCCCCGGCGCCTGAAAGGAAAGAGAAGACATGGAAGGGCAGGCGGGAGACGAGATGGTGAAGTGGGATGTGCATGCTCTCCTGAGCACCTGCATGCAAAACATGGTACCCACCAAGAGGGGCACGAGGGGGGTGGTCACAGGAAGGCAGGTGAGTGCTGAAATACCTTGTGCACAGTGGTGGAGAATCGATCCCAGTTTCTCTAAACAAGTGAGGCAGCAAGTCATTGCTGAGATCAATACCACCCCATCTCCCACCATCCCACCACCCCATCTCTCACCATCTCCCCCAGAGAGACAAATCGAAGGTTGGAGCACTACGAGCAAATGAAGCAAATCCAGCAGTGGGAGGGAGTGTGCTAGAACATAGTGCTAGGCGGGTGTGCGGCCAGGCAGTAGGGATGTGCAGATGGGGTTGTGCACCCGCCACACCCCGGTGCCTGCCTGCTCCCAGCACTGCCGGTGGCGTCCACGGCTACCATCACCACCACCACATCCATTGCCCCACCGTTTCCTTCCGGCCGTGCAGGTGGAAGTGACCAGGCAAGATGCTAGGTGGGTTGTGGACATCGCCAGCAGAGCTGAGAGCATGGGCAGGCAGTGTGGCCTTAGAAGCCGAGCCGCCCCTCCCCTGCTGCTCCTCCCCTGTTGTACCCCCCTGCTGCCATGCCATGCAGTATGGCCACCACCACGCATGCACCCACCCACTCCCACGGTCCTGCCCTCCCTCACTTTCATGGTGCTAGCTTCACTCCATCCCACCCCTCCCATCTCCTTCTATCCTCGCTGCACCATCCCATCCCAACCAATCCTATTCCATCCCATCTCCTTCTCTTCCCTCCCATCCTGACCCAACCCATCCCATCTTATCTCCTCCCCTTACCCTCCCCTCCCCTCCCCTCCCCTCCTGTCTCATTCCCTCCCATCCCAACTCATCCGAACCCATCCCATCCGGTCTGCCACACACCTGATAGCCAGTCCGCTGGGTCAAGCTGAGCTGCAGGTCAACTGTGCCGGGCGGCATGTCCACCACGAGCACGTCCTGCCGCCCTCACTCCCTCCCCCTTACACGCTTCTCCACCGCCGCCATCACCATGGGCCGGCCTCGCGCCACACGGCCGCCACATGAGGGGGCATGAGGAAGCCCGCAGACATGCAGAGCACGCCGTGCGCCTGCAGCGGCAAGATGGGCGCGTGGGGGGCACGTGAGGCGAGCAGTGGGGTGGCGGCAGTCTCTAGGCCCAGCGAGAAGGGGGCAGCCGGCGATGTCCACGCCGAGCAGGTTGGGCAGTGAGGGGCCCAACACGTCGCTGTCCAGCAGCCTTACTTGCTGTGACGGGCGAGTGCCCCTGCCAGGTTCAGTGTAACGGAAGGGGGGGTGGGGGGGGGAGGGGAAGATGGGAATGGGGGGAGGAGGGATGAGGGATGGGGGAGGAAAGATGGAAATAATGTGGGATGGGGGGATGAAGGGGATGCGGGGATGGAGGGATGAGGGAAGATGGGCATGCGGTTAGAGGCATGCAGTGAGAGGTGCGGGGTAAGGGGCAGATTGGGACCGGCGTGCGCGTGCCATTCGCGGGAAGGTGACGGCCAGCCATGCGTGTAAGTAAGCCACCCAGCCATACGTACGTCACCTCAGCAGGACACCGTCTGTGCTCTCAGCAGGACACCGTCTGTGCTCTCAGCAGGACACCGTCTGTGCTCTCAGCAGGACACCGTCTGTGCTCTCAGCAGGACACCGTCTGTGCTCTCAGCAGGACACCGTCTGTGCTCTCAGCAGGAAACCGTCTGTGCTCTCAGCAGGACACCGTCTGTGCTCTCAGCAGGACACCGTCTGTGCTCTCAGCAGGACACCGTCTGTGCTCTCAGCAGGACACCGTCTGTGCTCTCAGCAGGACACCGTCTGTGCTCTCAGCAGGACACCGTCTGTGCTCTCAGCAGGACACCGTCTGTGCTCTCACCAGGACACCGTCTATGCTCTCAGCAGGACACCGTCTGTACTCTCAGCAGGACACCGTCTGTGCTCTCAGCAGGACACCGTCTGTGCTCTCAGCAGGACACCGTCTGTGCTCTCAGCAGGACACCGTCTGTGCTCTCAGCAGGACACCGTCTGTGCTCTCAGCAGGACACCGTCTGTGCTCTCAGCAGGACACCGTCTGTGCTCTCAGCAGGACACCGTCTGTGCTCTCAGCAGGACACCGTCTGTGCTCTCAGCAGGACACCGTCTGTGCTCTCAGCAGGACACCGTCTGTGCTCTCAGCAGGACACCGTCTGTGCTCTCAGCAGGACACCGTCTGTGCTCTCAGCAGGACACCGTCTGTGCTCTCAGCAGGACACCGTCTGTGCTCTCAGCAGGACACCGTCTGTGCTCTCAGCAGGACACCGTCTGTGCTCTCAGCAGGACACCGTCTGTGCTCTCAGCAGGACACCGTCTGTGCTCTCAGCAGGACACCGTCTGTGCTCTCAGCAGGACACCGTCTGTGCTCTCAGCAGGACACCGTCTGTGCTCTCAACAGGACACCGTCTGTGCTCTCAGCAGGACACCGTCTGTGCTCTCAGCAGGACACCGTCTGTGCTCTCAGCAGGACACCGTCTGTGCTCTCAGCAGGACACCGTCTGTGCTCTCAGCAGGACACCGTCTGTGCTCTCACCAGGACACCGTCTGTGCTCTCAGCAGGACACCGTCTGTGCTCTCAGCAGGACACCGTCTGTGCTCTCAGCAGGACACCGTCTGTGCTCTCAGCAGGACACCGTCTGTGCTCTCAGCAGGACACCGTCTGTGCTCTCAGCAGGACACCGTCTGTGCTCTCAACAGGACACCGTCTGTGCTCTCAGCAGGACACCGTCTGTGCTCTCAGCAGGACACCGTCTGTGCTCTCAGCAGGACACCGTCTGTGCTCTCAGCAGGACACCGTCTGTGCTCTCAGCAGGACACCGTCTGTGCTCTCAGCAGGACACCGTCTGTGCTCTCAGCAGGACACCGTCTGTGCTCTCAGCAGGACACCGTCTGTGCTCTCAGCAGGACACCGTCTGTGCTCTCAGCAGGACACCGTCTGTGCTCTCAGCAGGACACCGTCTGTGCTCTCAGCAGGACACCGTCTGTGCTCTCAGCAGGACACCGTCTGTGCTCTCAGCAGGACACCGTCTGTGCTCTCAGCAGGACACCGTCTGTGCTCTCAGCAGGACACCGTCTGTGCTCTCAGCAGGACACCGTCTGTGCTCTCAGCAGGACACCGTGTGCTCTCAGCAGGACACCGTCTGTGCTCTCAGCAGGACACCGTCTGTGCTCTCAGCAGGACACCGTCTGTGCTCTCAGCAGGACACCGTCTGTGCTCTCAGCAGGACACCGTCTGTGCTCTCAGCAGGACACCGTCTGTGCTCTCAGCAGGACACCGTCTGTGCTCTCAGCAGGACACCGTCTGTGCTCTCAGCACGACACCGTCTGTGCTCTCAGCAGGACACCGTCTGTGCTCTCAGCAGGACACCGTCTGTGCTCTCAGCAGGACACCGTCTGTGCTCTCAGCAGGACACCGTCCACCATCGCCATCGCCAATCGCTCGCCGTGCAGTCCGACGCATGCGATGCTCTCTACATTGCCTTGCGACGTGCAGCTGCGACGCGGTGCTACGACTTTCTCGGCACTCGCGGAGCAGCCAGACGCCCGTGACGCTCGCTCGAGTCGCCGCCGCCAATAGGAAGCATGGATGTCGACCAGCAGTATTACCGTAGTGCTGTTACTGAGTCAATTCATACGGAATCTAGACTGGACAAAATTGACGTTCCTTTTGAGACCACATCACAGAGCAGTTACGGAAGAAGGGCCGAGGACGGAATCATATGGACATTAGCGGCCACGCTGGGAGGAGCGAGAAATCGGCAGGAAGCTGTGGGAGGGAGGGCGGGGAAAAAAGCAAATCCGTTCTTTCTCTGGTGCGCATTCGTGCTTCTTGCGACGGCGGCGGCGTCGCGCAGAGGGGGACTGTGCGACGGTGAGGAGGAGAAGAAGGATGGGGCGGGGGAGGAGGTGCGAGTGCGGATGTTAGACCACGTTCTAACAACCCATAACGATTATGAGCATCATATGTTTACTGCCATCTCGCCGTATTTATCAGTCAACTTAGAATTCGCTCGATGGAACTCTGAACTGTCAACTCTACCCTATCGCTAGACCGCAGTTTTAGATGGCGATAAGGTCGGTCGCGGGCTGAGCGGCTAGACCGTGGCTAGGTCGCTATGTCGTTAGGTCGCCATGGCACTGGTCGCTACTAGTGCCATAATTCGCATGTTCAAATATATTACAGTAGTTGCTCTTCGTATGCTGTTTCGATCGTTTCTGTACTAGTTAGGGCTTGTTCAGTTCCGTTATCGCGAGAGCGAATGAAGAGGTCGGGGTTCGTCAAACAAGGTCAGCCGCTGTCCTTATTCATCTGACTCGCAGAGCTGGCGAGATATTCGGTGGCTCGACACGCCCTGCTGGCATGCCACGCCACCACCGAAACTCGTGTCAGGATGGAGTTCGCGAGAGCAGGGTAACTTGAAGAAACGTTCGCATCTGCCCAGAACCATATTTCACAGCGTGTGGTCGCAATTCGCGAATTCAACATCTGTCAGCGATATCAGCCTCTCACAGCCACCATCAAAATTGCAACGCAGATCTTGGCAGGAAAATGGGACTTCACCTTCCACCCTCACCTAGTACCTCCTAAATTTTCATTTCCTAGTTTCAGCTTTCCTTCCTAGATTCTTACTTGACGTCGTCTGCGGCACTGCTATAGTAGTTTCTTGGTTTCACATTCTACAGGTATTCACGCTTTTCTATTGACGCTCAGAATCCATGCTACTACTAGTTGCTTGCGCACATTTCACAAAGCAATAACCAGTCGTTCAAACAAAGAAGCTCGATCGCCGCACTACGACTCATGGCAACGGACAAGGGACGCATCATTCGGCTCGGCTTACTACTCATATTTCTGGCGTGTCTCGCCATGGTTTCTCCAGTCCGCGGTGTCCCGTTCGCCGCCTCCCAAGGTTCGTCCTTGTAGAACTTCATCCCAAAATTTGGAAGCCTGAAATACTATTCAATAAGTTATTGTAGGAGGCCGGAACATTTTTGGGATGTGTAAGCCCCACATGCGTTACATGGGTCATGGTGGTGCCATGGCACCACTGGTGTGGCCTCCATGGGACCCTTGTACTGAATCCTACTACCGGCGTCACCAATACTCCATACTAAGACATCATCACAAAAACCCCTCGTTTTTGAATCGCTTGGAAACGGGTCGAATTGGTTTCGGAAGTTGGGTTGCGTGGGTTGTCCAACCTTTTTCGCCCAACCACCAGCGTAAATGTGTCATTCTCAGATTTCGATCTGCTTTCGCGCATCCGAACCGACTCGCGAGACATTGTGCGCCTCGGCGAACCGAAATTGGCCCAATTTCGGTCAATAGCAGGTGTACAGTGCTCTTTTGACCAGGTTGAAAAAGCAGTTTCGAGAATGGGGTGCATTGGTTTCCCGCAAATATTTCTGGGTCACCGAGCCACAGCTTTGCTTGGCGCACGACGAGACGTGGCGATAGGGTGCGTTTGGGCCCTGCAAAAATGGTCTCGCATAGGAGTAATTATGGACCAAGATGAGCCTACAGTGTTTCTTGAAAACAAATTTTACATAAAGTCAAAGTTATGTCTTATAATATTGAAAGGCTGCTGATTAAACAATCACATGTGCATGTACATATATACCCTGTACAGTCATAAGTTGTTATTGCATGTAATCTTGCCTCTTAATACAAAACAGGTTTGGTTGCCTATGAAAAAGTACAGATGCCTGTAGGATTTATATCTAATTTAGCAGGTACTTGTTAAGATAGAATGCATTTTCGCAGTGGTAAGACTTGATAATGTGCACCTGGCGCAGTATGCTTTCAGTGTCAATCACTGAGTAGCGCGATACCCCAGTTGTCAACCTAAGACGTTTGCACCCTGTTTTTGCATCCTCGCCTGCGCTTGACCAGTACTTCACATATGCCCACTCCTTCGTGCACCCTCTCTCTTTCGTATGGAACAGCAACAAGAGCCTTCCGTACCACTCCGTCTCTTCACCTGTCGCTGTTGTTCCCACGATGGCAACATCAGAGAACCACGGCCTAGAGTGAGACAGCGGGGTTGCTTTCACGAAATGTGCTACACGGGCGAAACTCGCATCTTCTGCAGCAGGGATGGCAAGTGTTGTGTGAGCCTGCAACCAGGAAGAGACACAAATCAGTACAAAGTAACATTCAGTTACATATGGTATCTGTTTGATGTCACCATTGTCACCACTTACACGAACTTTCGTTGGCCTCAGCTGGCGTCGAAGCAATGCACCCGCAAAGGCATGGTGTGCCTCGCTGTGGAGCTTCGTCCACTCACGGACAAACCAGTTGGCAATGGGAGTGACGTCATCGGGTTTCACGTGGAAGAAGTAGGACTCCTTCACCATCACCCGAGCTCCATCCTCGATGGCCTGGCACGTGTCAGGAAAGGCAGAGTTTGGAAAAAAAGCACACCATTCTCCCCCTCCGTTTGCTCCCCTCCCTGCCCTGCACTTCCTCTTTCACTGCCCCCTCCCCTGCCTTGAGCTAACTCTTCCCCTGCTACCCACCAAGGACCTGCCGGCAAACTTTCCATGCCACCCAGCCCGAGCTGTCCCGCCAGGCACTCCTACTCACCGCATTCACCATCTCAGCACTCACCCTCCCATCACCGCACTCACCATCTCAGCACTCACCCTCCCATCTCAGCACTCACCCTCCCCTCACATCACAGCACTCACCATCTCAGCACCTCCCCTCACAGCACTCGCCATCTCAGCACCTCCCCTCACAGCACTCACCATCTCAGCACCTCCCCTCACAGCACTCACCATCTCAGCACCTCCCCTCACAGCACTCACCATCTCAGCACTCACCCTCCCATCTCAGCACTCACCCTCCCCTCACATCACAGCACTCACCATCTCAGCACCTCCCCTCACAGCACTCACCATCTCAGCACCTCCCCTCACAGCACTCACCATCTCAGCACCTCCCCTCACAGCACTCACCATCTCAGCACCTCCCCTCACAGCACTCACCATCTCAGCGCCTCCCCTCACAGCACTCACCATCTCAGCACCTCCCCTCACAGCACTCACCATCTCAGCACCTCCCCTCACAGCACTCACCATCTCAGCACCTCCCCTCACAGCACTCACCATCTCAGCACCTCCCCTCACAGCACTCACCATCTCAGCACCTCCCCTCACAGCACTCACCATCTCAGCACCTCCCCTCACAGCACTCACCATCTCAGCACCTCCCCTCACAGCACTCACCATCTCAGCACCTCCCCTCACAGCACTCACCATCTCAGCACCTCCTCTCACAGCACTCACCATCTCAGCACCTCCCCTCACAGCACTCACCATCTCAGCGCCTCCCCTCACAGCACTCACCATCTCAGCACCTCCCCTCACAGCACTCACCATCTCAGCACCTCCCCTCACAGCACTCACCATCTCAGCACCTCCCCTCACAGCACTCACCATCTCAGCACCTCCCCTCACAGCACTCACCATCTCAGCACCTCCCCTCACATCACTCACCATCTCAGCACTTCCCCTCACCGCACTCACCATCTCAGCACCTCCCCTCATCGCACTCACCATCTCAGCGCCTCCCCTCACAGCACCTACCTTTTGCATAGCCGTTTGCACGCCTTGGTCGGTGGCCACGTTGCTGATGGAGTCAAGCTTCATCTCGTGGTGCTTCATGATCTGCGTGTCCACTTTCCGCTTATTCGATCTCCTGTAGATTTGCTTCAGCAGGGTGCTATGCAGGTGTTCGAAGAGGTTGGTGCTGTACTCTTGCACGTTCCCAGCTCGTCGAATGCCAGGGATGAAATGAGTCATCAAGTGTGTTTTGATGAGGTTCCACCTTGATTTCTGCTCGGGGAAGGCAGCCGTGAGTAGTTTCACCAGCCTGGGATGGGTGGGAGCATGAATAAATGAAGGAGTATATGGATAAGCGTTCAATTTGTAAGGGATGGAATCACTAGGGGAGTTAGATGGTTTAGGTTGTTTCGTTTGGTGAGGTACCTTGTTGATTTGGCTTGTAGTTCGGAAAGACTTCTCTCGGTGTGAGAGGCGGCGTTGCAGCAGAGATACCAGTCAAGGTATGCTCTGATGGCCTCCAGCTGGGGCGAGCCGACAACGTCAGCCACCAAAAAGATCAACACCTGGATGCATGCAGCATGGTGTGTAGGAAAGGTGAGAGAAAAGATTGAAGGAGCTTCTTCCCATGAATGACTTCAGGCGAGTTTACAGCAGTGCCTTCTCCACCAGCCCATCTTCTCTCCCCTTCCTCTTCCGTCCCTGCCCAGCTCGGCCCACTGTTCCCACCCTCCCCCTTCCACCTCTCCATGGTCTGCAAGGCCTCTAAGCATCATACCTGCATGACCGATCGATGTTCAAAAGCTGCGACTTGTGCCCCGGTTTTGAAGTATTCGCTCTTCGGAAAACGCAAAGAGTTGATCCGTGTTTCCAGGGTGAGCCGTAGAAGGCGCCTGCGTACGTTGGGATGGAAAGATTTCGGATATGGGGGGCGGCAGATCAGGATGGAATAAAGTTGAGCTGACACACTACCATGTGCTCACAAATGTAGGCTTGACATGCCAACATTTTAACGATGGCTTCTTGAAGGGGCATCTCCAGGCGGGTGGTCCAAGGGGTACTCACAAATCCAGAATCTTCATCATCGCTGGGTGTTGGGTGCGGATGCACACCACGATGTGGTCCAGCATCCCCAGGTCTGCCTGGTGCATGATGTCCGCCATGACAGCGAGAAAAGGATTTCCCCACGGCAATGATCCAACCTGCCACTTCCATAAAGCACACTGTGCAGGTGGTACAGCGCAGCAGGGAATGCGATGGTTAGGGAAACACTTGACACCAATAGACACCAGAGGTTGCTGTGTCTATGAGCCTACGAGCTGGCATCAAATACATACGTCGATGTCGAACGTTGAGTACAACTTCAGCGGATTGTCATCCGCTCCGGCAGCGACTCCAGCTGCCTCGTCTCTAACCCACTGCTGTTGTGCGGGTGTGCGAACGTTGTTGAGTAGCTCCACAGATGACAGGCTTTCCTGTGGTGGGCGTTGGAATTTTTAGCGTAAAGGGGACGAGCAAGAGAGACCATTAGACACACACATACACAGACATGTGGACATGTGGTTGGGGGCTGCTCACCATCCCAGCACTTACCATCCCAGCACTCACCGTCCCAGCACTTACCATCCCAGCACTCACCATCCCAGCACTCACCATCCCAGCACTCACCATCCCAGCACTCACCATCCCAGCACTCACCATCCCAGCACTTACCATCCCAGCACTCACCATCCCAGCACTCACCATCCCAGCACTCACCATCCCAGCACTCACCATCCCAGCACTCACCATCCCAGCACTCACCATCCCAGCACTCACCATCCCAGCACTCACCATCCCATCACTCACCATCCCAGCACTCGCCATCCCAGCACTCTCCATCCCTATCACTCACCATCCCAGCACCTACCATCCCAGCACTCACCATCCCAGCACTCACCATCCCAGCACTCACCATCCCTATCACTCACCATCCCAGCACTCACCATCCCAGCACTCACCATCCCAGCACTCACCATCCCAGCACTCACCATCCCAGCACTCACCATCCCTATCACTCACCATCCCAGCACTCACCATCCCAGCACTCACCATCCCAGCACTCACCATCCCAGCACTCACCATCCCATCACTCACCATCCCAGCACTCGCCATCCCAGCACTCACCATCCCTATCACTCACCATCCCAGCACTCACCATCCCAGCACTCACCATCCCAGCACTCACCATCCCAGCACTCACCATCCCAGCACTCACCATCCCAGCACTCACCATCCCATCACTCACCATCCCAGCACTCGCCATCCCAGCACTCTCCATCCCTATCACTCACCATCCCAGCACCTACCATCCCAGCACTCACCATCCCAGCACTCACCATCCCAGCACTCACCATCCCAGCACTCACCATCCCAGCACTCACCATCCCAGCACTCACCATCCCTATCACTCACCATCCCAGCACTCACCATCCCAGCACTCACCATCCCAGCACTCACCATCCCAGCACTCACCATCCCATCACTCACCATCCCAGCACTCGCCATCCCAGCACTCACCATCCCTATCACTCACCATCCCAGCACTCACCATCCCAGCACTCACCATCCCAGCACTCACCATCCCAGCACTCACCATCCCAGCACTCACCATCCCAGCACTCACCATCCCAGCACTCACCATCCCTATCACTCCCCATCCCAGCACCTACCATCCCAGCACTCACCATCCCAGCACTCACCATCCCAGCACTCACCATCCCTATCACTCACCATCCCAGCACTCACCATCCCAGCACTCACCATCCCAGCACTCACCATCCCAGCACTCACCATCCCAGCACTCACCATCCCAGCACTCACCATCCCTATCACTCACCATCCCAGCACTCACCATCCCAGCACTCACCATCCCAGCACTCACCATCCCAGCACTCACCATCCCATCACTCACCATCCCAGCACTCGCCATCCCAGCACTCACCATCCCTATCACTCACCATCCCAGCACTCACCATCCCAGCACTCACCATCCCAGCACTCACCATCCCAGCACTCACCATCCCAGCACTCACCATCCCAGCACTCACCATCCCTATCACTCACCATCCCAGCACTCACCATCCCAGCACTCACCATCCCAGCACTCACCATCCCAGCACTCACCATCCCATCACTCACCATCCCAGCACTCGCCATCCCAGCACTCACCATCCCTATCACTCACCATCCCAGCACTCACCATCCCAGCACTCACCATCCCAGCACTCACCATCCCAGCACTCACCATCCCTATCACTCCCCATCCCACCACCGCCCATCCTTGCCATCCCCAGTCCAGCACCTCCCATCCCAGCACATCCCCACCCCGAGTGTACATGTTGACGTACCCTGTCGACATAGCAGAGGCTGCACGGCTTCATGCAGCCCTGGCCAGATTTGGTGCATGTCAGTTTCCCGGACTCGGGATAGTCACAAGCCCAAGCGTACAGCAAAGGAACGACCCATCGCTCGATGCCCTCTGAGTCCAGCAGCATGACACCACTGCACAGTTTTCGGGCAGCCATGAAACAGGGTGGAAACACAGGCGGGTTAACAATATTGATTACTTCCAAGCACCGCACTCCTTTTATGGGGCATGACTCACCAATAAGATAAAGATTCGGTACACACCAGCATTTGCACCACTCACTTGTCTTTAAGGCGGAGAAGTGGCTCAAGTAGCTTAGCAATACACGCGTTGTAGAGCTCCACCTTCAAGTGCGACGGCATGTTCGAGGGTGGGATGGGTAACAGCGCCAACAGGGAGTGCCCGTGCCGGCCCCAGCGTTTGGGGAATGCAATATTCCCCAGTGTCATCACGACCGGGTGCGCCTTCTTCCTCCCGTTGTTGCTCAAGTGCGTGACGTCACTGTACAGTATCAGCGCCGCAACGATCTTGTCCATGCCAATGAATTCCTGCACATAACGCAAAGAATGGATAGATTGGGTCGAGGGGAAAGGCAATGTCTCTGCGCGGTAAACATTGCTGACTCGAAAAGGGCACAACAGCTGAAAGCTGGGACCATGCATGGTGAGTGGTAGGTGTGGAACATATGCAAGGTGCGAGTGATGTGAGGGGAGTGTAAACTACCCATCACCTTGCACTCACAATCTCTGCACCTCCCGTCCCATCACTCACCATCTCTCGCAACTGCAAAAAGCTATCAATAGCCCTCACCTGTGCTTCTTGCCACCATGTGCCGGTTTCTGCAGTGGAATATGCCCGATGCCCACTCTCGCTGTCCTTGTCTCTCCTCGGTCCCATTCTGAAGCCAGGCGCATTGTGCTTGTGCCGAAACATATCCGCCAGGGCCTGCAATATCATATACAGCACGTACATAGGCCGGTTAGCACCCTACACAATATGAGAGTGACGCATGATGCCGCCAGGACATGTAGTCAAGCCAATGCCCTTCAGTTTCATCCCGGGTACCCGAAACTACGTCAGCAAACTCACCCTCAGTGGATCGCGGTGAAGCATCACTTGCGGTGGAAAGCCCTCCACATAAAATGTGGTCGACTCGAATCCACGTCCCGTGTCAGCCAGAAATTCCTTCTGTAGCATCTCCACATCACGGAAGCTACGGACATTCCCCTCTACCAACAGCGGGGCCAACTCTGGATGGATAATTAGCTGCAGCACCTTGTTAGTATCCATGTTCGATAAGCCCATGCCGCCATTCAGCGAATCGAGTTGCTCCAACAGGTGTATCAAAGCGGGATGGATGTCGCTGCCATCGGGAAACGAAGGCCTGGCAGCAGAACCGAATCCAGGATTTTCTGGACATGTGGTTGGGGGCTGCTCCGCCCCTTGGCTGGACGACTGGGGCGTTGAGGGGTGTGGAGAAGATCCTTCAGGATCAACACGACTCTCACAGCCCACGCCACTAGACGATCTTGGCAGTGTCTCTTGAGTTGCATCTTGAGGCGCGGAACTGCCATGTCTGACGAAGTGCGGGAGCGATGCAGGCACAATGTATGCTATGTTAGGGCGCCTATGACCACTGCCTGCGCGATGCTCTGCAGAGTTGGGGTTGCAGGGTGTGTTGCCAGCCCGGTGCCTTCCTAGGACGAAACAGTCTGAAAACTCTCGTCCACAGTGTGCACACCGAACAGGACTAGAACGATCCATGGCAGCGCGACATTAGTCCGTCGTTCCTTTGCCTCTGTATATCGCCGTGGCGTTTAAATACGCACCCGCTACAAAGAGTCGATGAATAGCGAGAAGGCCATTCAATATAAGGTAGCGGATGGACATCGTGACGGGGAATAACGCTATAGTGCGAGCTACCCAAAGGCACGACAGCCATGTGATTACGACGAGTCGCTGACGGCGCGACCTGGGGGCACGATATGAGGTGCAATACACGAATCGCGAGGAGGCAGATCGGGAACCTTGACGAAATTAGGGTTTGCAGCCTTCAGGATAGGGTTGGTGTGTGCGTGCAGCGCCTGATTCCCTGTGCCTCATACCACGACTTCAAACTTTCGAAAGTCGACTGCAATGCTATTCACGATTTAGACACAACACTGTGCCTGATAAGACGTATGCATAACAAAATGTGCCATTCATAGATTTGAACAATGATATTAACTGAACCCACTATCAAAAATTATGTAACCATGGTTTCATTTAACCGACCCTACTGACTACTGACTATTGGACTAATATGTTATAGGATAGGAGATCTGGCCTTGCCCCATACGACGGCCTGAATCGCAGTAAAATATGGCGTTTTATGTCATCTTCCAAACAACCAACCTAGAGTGCTCCGCAGTAACTGAAAATGGGATTGAAGGTCCACAGCACAACTTAGAGTCACCACACAAAGAATCAGCTCAATCCAATATGTGGCGGGCAGGTAAACATGCCTTGCCCCATAAGGCTGCGGAAATCGCAGCAAAATCAGCTAAACTGTGATATCTTCCAAACAACCAACCTAGGGTGATCCGTAGAGGCTGAGAATGGGATGGGAGTTTCATAGCACTAACTAGAGACACCACACAAAGAATCGGCTCATTCCAATATGCGGCGGGCAGGTAATCATGCCTTGCCCCATAAGGCAGCGAAAATCCCAGCTAAACTACCGTAGCTCATCTTCCAAACAACCACCCTAGGGTGCTCCGCAGGAGCTGACATTAGGATGGGAGGATCATGATACCATTAATAAGATCCTCCCAGGAGTGCATCCCAATCCAAAATGTCTAGGCTATCAATCGGCGCATTTCCCCATAAGCCTGCCCAGAACTTGTACAGAACAGCATTCGGTAGCACGTTAGTCGAACGACCAACCAAACGTGCTCCGACGAGGCCCATTTTGGGATGGGAGGATCATGATATCATTACTAAGATCCTCCCAGGAGTGCATCCCAATCCAAAATGTCTAGGCTATCAATCAGCGCATTTCCCCATAAGCCTGCCCAGAACTTGTACAGAACAGCATTCGGTAGCACGTTAGTCGAACGACCAACCAAACGTGCTCCGACGAGGCCCATTTTGGGATGGGAGGATCATGATATCATTACTAAGATCCTCCCAGGAGTGCATCCCAATCCAAAATGTCTAGGCTATCAATCAGCGCATTTCCCCATAAGCCTGCCACGAACTTGTACAGAACAGCATTCGGTAGCACGTTAGTCGAACGACCAACCAAACGTGCTCCGACGAGGCCCATTTTGGGATGGGAGGATCATGATATCATTACTAAGATCCTCCCAGGAGTGCATCCCAATCCAAAATGTCTAGGCTATCAATCAGCGCATTTCCCCATAAGCCTGCCCAGAACTTGTACAGAACAGCATTCGGTAGCACGTTAGTCGAACGACCAACCAAACGTGCTCCGACGAGGCCCATTTTGAGATGGGAGGATCATGATATCATTACTAAGATCCTCCCAGGAGTGCATCCCAATCCAAAATGTCTAGGCTATCAATCAGCGCATTTCCCCATAAGCCTGCCACGAACTTGTACAGAACAGCATTCGGTAGCACGTTAGTCGAACGACCAACCAAACGTGCTCCGACGAGGCCCATTTTGGGATGGGAGGATCATGATATCATTACTAAGATCCTCCCAGGAGTGCATCCCAATCCAAAATGTCTAGGCTATCAATCAGCGCATTTCCCCATAAGCCTGCCACGAACTTGTATAGAACAGCATTCGGTAGCACGTTTGTCGAACGACCAACCAAACGTGCTCCGGCGAGGCCCATTTTGGGATGGGAGGATCATGATACCATTAATAAGATCCTCCCAGGAGTGCATCCCAATCCAAAATGTCTAGGCTATCAACCGGCAAATTTCCCCATAAGCCTGCCCAGAACTTGTACAGAACAGCATTCGGTAGCATCATTAGCTACACTAGCTCATCATCCAACCAACCAACCTAGAGTGCTCCGTAGGAGCTGAAAATGGGATGGAAGGTTCACAACACTACTTAAAGTCAGCCCACAAAGAATGCGCTCTGTCCAAAATGTATAGGGTAGGAAATCATGGTTACAGAGTCATTCCCCCTCTCGATTACATATCACTTACCCTACAATCCAAACATTGCTGTCAGGGACGTCGCGATGGAGACTGTGACGAAAGAACCTTCAACATATCCATCCTTTAGTTACATCTAAGACTATGCCATTTTATGAATGGTCCCTTACTTGGCTACTTGACAGTGTAGTGTCTCTGTAGAATGATCCCATAATGTATCAATTTCTATCGAACCCACTTGGAAGGATGATGGTATGAACTATGCTGCCTGTCAGAGCAGTCTCGTTTTGATTGGTGCTTTGGTTTTACCTTAAAGTGTTCACAGTCACCCGTTGCCAACTGGTTTTGTTTGTTGTTGTTTAAAATGACAAGACTGCCTTATGACCACCTGTAGCTAGTGTAGATGTTGTGTTCCAGCGATATTTTAACTGAGCACAGCGACTACTGCAGCAGCCTCAGCCACTCTTAGGAATACTGTAATTGGGGTATGCGAAGAATCATCGCGTGATGGGCAGCAAAATGTTGTGGCGAAAACGCCACGGGAGCTTTCGCCAAAAACAAGACAAGGACAACTGCAACGCATTTGGAGTTTTGTGAAGTTGGCGAAACTTCCCACGTGGCCAGTTGACTGTCGTTTCCATCTATTGTTGTCTGTAAAATTTTACCCAGTGAAAAACGCGGATGCTGCATGTATAGCGCTAAGTTTCCGTGGGGCCGGGAAGCAGCCATTTGTTCATCCAACCGATGACTTCCGTCTAAGCTCGATATTTTGGAGGTGCTACGGGCTGCGCGAATAAATGTGCCAAGCCTGGTGCAACCGTACAGTACGGTGAACCTGCTTCACCACACTCAGTCTATCCTTATTTTATTGTCGTGGCTTTTTTTTTTTTCATTCGGAGGACATGCCAGTACTCAAAACACCCGAAACAAGGCATCACTCGAAACAGCGTGAAACACTCGACTTATCTAAAACAGGGCCTAACTAGGAACCTCATACTCAACCGTTGTTACTCACCTAATACTACAATCTTGGCGAGACGACTCCCAAACGCTCCTACTGTAACAAATTAAAATTTCGTGGCAAAATATTCTTCAAGATTCGAAAACAACAGAACTAAACAGTGTGGAATTGCCACGCTGTAAACCGCAATGCTATCAGGTGGGCAAGGTCGCACTTGTCGTCTAGTACAAAACCAACGTGAGCGCGTGAACCTCGTTGAACAGTCCACGGTAACGCCTGGCAGAGTCTCAGCGAGCACCGTGTCACACGATGCTGTGGTCTCAAGCTACCGCTCGTGATAGCAATCACGACGCAGGAACACCAACTCCTTCCCGTTGGCTTAGGTCCGGTCACCTTTCCCCCCTCTTTTTTCAGCGACTTACTCATGCTCCCCTCAATCAGCAACACGGCGCTGGTTTTCAGTGCCTAATATCCGCGACGTCGCGCTCTCATTATCTTACCGTCGGTCCGCATTAGACGGCCGCGCATAGTTGCACGTATAGATGTGCATCTCACTGTCTTACCCTCAGCCGTGACAGTACCGTGAGAGCTCCATAATCTCACTCACCACCGCCTCCATTCATGGCAACTCGCGGCGCCGCTCACGCCATCCACCACCCCATCGTTAGCGTGCCGCGTCGACCCTTCATGAGTGTAGCCGTTCCGGAATCGTGCTACTTGGCGACCCGTATCGTGACCGCGACCGAATCGCTCAAAGGTACGTCTCTTCATCGAGTTCCTTGGTCGTTTAAGCGATACATATCCTGATATAAAAGGGTCCATTATAAACGTAGTAAGTACCGATCCCCTCTTCCGCTACAATTAGTCCCTGCAGTTCCGGATTTCTAACGTCCTATCATCTTTCCCGGAGCTATTGCGCGACATGTCGACTAAACTGCAGGTCTCGAAGGCGGTGACCAAGAAAAACACAGCCACGGGTGGCCCCGTGCAAAGTCCAGGCAAGGTGCAGAATGGTACGAAGAAGAAGAGCACGGAGGCTGCTCCCAAACCCCGGACATCTAGCGGTGACGGCCCTCCTGGTGGCGAGGTTCGCAAGTCCAGCCGCCCTCGAAAGGCGAAAGTGTGGTTTGAGGAAGGGGCAGATGCTACCGAAGAAGGTGCTGATCCTGTTAAGTATGTCGGGAACAACCTTGATGGCGAGGATGTGGACAACCAGAAACACGAGGACGAAGCTGAGGCCAACGGCAAGTCGGGTGACGTGGGCGAAAACGAGGTGGACGAGGCAGTGAACTAGGCCGGCGACGAGCCGGAAGAGGAAAACTTGGCGGAGGACGATGCTGAAGAGAAGGCGGATGAAGAGGAGGGTGACGAGGCGGAGGAAGAGGAGGGTGACGAGGCGGAGGAAGAGGAGGATGATGAGGCGGAGGAAGAGGAGGATGACGAGGTGGAGGAAGAGGAGGACGAGGAGTCTGAGGAAGGGCAGGGGGATGAGGACGAGGCTGAGAAGGGAAGTGAGAAAGGCGATTCGGCGGAAGTGGAGGAAGGTGCGGATGCGCACAAGCCTCAAATCACAAGGAAGGGTAGCTTTGACGAGATGCTGGAAGAGCAGGGTGACGCTGATGACGAAGACATGGAGGATGAGGCTGTGGCTGAGGAACGTGCTATGCTGCTTGGGAAGCTGAAGGGACTCGATGAGATCAAGGAACCCGTTGTCAGCTCGAAGCCTGCTAGAAAGGGTGTGAAACGTCTTCCACGTTAAGAACCCTCTAAGGTTCCTGCTAAGCCACCGCGAGGGAAAGATGCAGTCACATCGGCTATTGGAAAGGATAAAGTTCTGGCGACCAAGAGTATTCTCGGTGGGAAGTCGAAACGGGAGTTCACCTTGGTGGTTGGCGGTGCGCAGAAAAAGCAGAACACCGGTGAAGTGTCGGCCAAACCGAAGTCAACTCCTACGGCAGCAGGCGCTGGGACCAGCGGGGGAAAGGCCAAGGCAGGCGCTGGGGCAAGCTGGTTAAAGGCCAAGGCAAGCGCTGGGGCAAGCGGGGTAAAGGCCAAGGCAGGCGCTGGGACCAGCGGGGTAAAGGCCAAGGCAGGCGCTGGGACCAGCGGCGTAAAGGCCAAGGCAGGCGCTGGGGCTAAACCGACCTCTAAGGAGGCCAACACAAAAACCAAAGGTCAGACTTTTGCCGCATTGTATAGCACTGCGGGATGGTACCACTTTTTATTCGTGGCATGCTTGCTGATGTCACGTCGCTTTCCATCCTTCCCTGCCGTCGCTTTCCTCCCATCCATGCCGTCGCCGTCATCCCATCCCTGCCGTCACCTTCATCCCATCCCTGCCGTCCCCTTCATCCCATCCCTGCCGTCACCTTCATCCCATCCCTGCCGTCACCTTCATCCCATCCCTGCCGTCACATTCATCCCATCCCTGCCGTCCCCTTCATCCCATCCATGCCGTCCCCTTCAACCCATCCCTGCCGTCACCTCTGACCCGTCCCTCAGTCACCTTTCCTCCATCTCTTCCGTCCCGTATACAATCAGCAGCTACCAATCAGTACTCTGGAGCTGCACCACCGGTGAAGGTGATCACTGAAGCCACCAAGCGCTATGAGCTCGTCCCCGTCAAGAAAACCCCGTTTGTGGCGGCATCTTGTGATCGCCGCCAGGAGCATGGTGGTGTATCAAACGTGGAGCTTGACCAATTCGAGCGACGCGTGATGGCAAGGTTCGCCGAGATGCTGTCGGCCATACTTCGGGGTGCTGGTCCATCCGTCCCAATCGGAGCGCCTGCAGCAACTCCTCCTCATTCTGGCCCGAGCACCAGCTCGTCGGAAGGCCTTCCCTCCAGCATTAGTCCCCTGGCAAACCATCGCGAAATCGTCTACAAAGCGGTAGTCGACTTCAAGGTGCGTTCCCTGTGATACACTGTGTGTGCGTTTCCTAGATTGTTGCTCGACCTGTCTGCCCCCTCTCCCCTCAATCATAAGCCCCATTTGCTTCCCCTGCTTGGAACTAGAGAGTTGAAGCTTTTCCTTAACACTGACACATTCTGTGCCATCCAGGCACCTCCTAACCACAACAATAAACCCCGCTTGCTTCCCCATCCAGGCATAGGGAGGTGAGGCTTTACCTAAACCCCAACTCCCCTCTGCCTGCCTGCCCACTCTCCCCTCAACCCGAATCCCCATCTGCTTCCCCATCCAGGTATAGGGAGGTGAGGCTTTACCTTAACCCCAACTCCCCTCTGCCTGCCTGCCCACTCTCCCCTCAACCCTAAACCCCACTTGCTTCCCATCCAGGTTTAGGGAGGTGATGCTTTACCTAAACCCCAACTCCCCTCTGCTTGCCTGCCCACTCTCCCCTCAACCCCAAACCCCACTTGCTTCCCCATCCAAGCATAGGGAGGTGAGGCTTTACCTAAACCCCAACTCCCCTCTTGCTTGCCTGCCCACTCTCCCCTCAACCCGAAACCCCACCTGCTACCCTAAATCCAGGCCTAGGGAGGTGAGGCTTTATCTAAACCCCAACTCCCCTATGCCTGCCTGCCCACTCTCCCCTCAACCCTAAACCCCACTTGATTCCCATCCAGGTTTAGGGAGGTGATGCTTTACCTAAACCCCAACTCCCCTCTGCTTGCCTGCCCACTCTCCCCTCAACCCCAAACCCCACTTGCTTCCCCATCCAGGCATAGGGAGGTGAGGCTTTACCTAAACCCCAACTCCCCTCTTGCTTGCCTGCCCACTCTCCCCTCAACCCGAAACCCCACCTGCTACCCTAAATACAGGCCTAGGGAGGTGAGGCTTTATCTAAACCCCAACTCCCCTCTGCCTGACTGCCCACTCTCCCCTCAACCCGAAACCCCACTTGCTTCCCATCCAGGTTTAGGGAGGTGAGGCTTTACCTAAACTATGACTTATGCTCTGTCTGCCCCCTCTACCATCAACCCGAAACCCCACTTGCTTCCCCACTTCTTCCCCGCCCTCTACCCTCAACCCGAATAGCCACTTGCAAACCCTTACCGCTTGCCTTCCATATCTGCCACCTCCCCTATCCCCCTTCAATCTACAGGAATTGTCTAGGCGTGTAGCAACACATCTTTGCTTCAACATTGAAGCTTCAATGATTCAGTTCTACCCATCTGCGGAGGAGGCCTTAGATCATGGGTTTAGCGAGTTTGTGTCACCACAGGTTCTGGCCTCGTTGCGTGTGCTCTTTCAGCACAACGATGCCAGCACCAGAGGGGTCTTTTTCGAGCAGCTGTCCTCAACTAGGACTTCTATCAACGGCTGGATGAGAAAGGTGGCACTAACGGCGTTGGGTCGGCAGGCGAACAGGTGCTACTTGGGGAGGTTACCAGCAGATCTGCTTGCACCACTCGAGTTCTACACGGATGAGGAGCTCATCGCACGTTACAAGGATGGTGAGTTTGTATGAAGCTTTTGATCCCGCAGTTGTTGTTATGTGTGTAGCAATAATTTCTATAAGCACTACTTTGTTCCACATTGCCCCTTTCGGTTGCCCTCTAGTCACCATAATGTCAGCACCTTTCATCCCTTTGTTTTCTATGACCACGCAATCCCATTTCAGGGGAGAGGGGGCTGGCATGGCATCGGGAGCTCCTCATCCCTTTCGGCAGCCTCATCTTCTCGGTGTCCATCAAGTTGGCTTTGGCGCGTCGTGGGGTCAATACCGAGAAGATTAAGACCCGCCAGCTGGGTTGGATCCTATATGCGGTGAGTTTATGGACATGTTGTTATGTTTGTTGCCACGTGTGCGATGAGCGAATTAGTGCTGTGTTAACCTTTTTCTGTTCATTTATTCCACTACATTCCCACCTCATACCCACCACATTCCTACAGTTTGAGTGGCCAATCCTCAACAACGCGCCTGATGGGAAGTTGAGCGGCAAGTGGGAGTACAATCGGATCCAGTACGAGGAGATGTGCACCCGTGTGAAGCGAGAGGTCGAGATCGCTGTCATTGACCATGGTGTCCCATACGCCAGCAACACGAACACATTCAACTTCCCCAACGGCGTCTACATCGACGCCTCTGACATGGAGACCCTTGTCAGCAGGGTGCAGGTAAGTCATCCCTAGGACCAAAACCTTGCTGATATGGCACCGACACTTTGCTTATGTGGCACTAAGATCTTGCTGTGGCACCAGCATTGCTGAATTCCTCCCATCTCATCCGTCCCCTTCCTCCCATCTCATCCGTCCCCTTTCTTCCAATCTCATCCGTCCCCTTCTTCCCATCTCATCCGTCCCCTTCCTCCCATCTCATCCGTCCCCTTCCTCCCATCTCATCCGTCCCCTTCTTCCCATCTCATCCGTCCCCTTCTTCCCATCTCATCCGTCCCCTTCCTCCTATCTCATCCGTCCCCTTCCTTCCGTCCCCTTCCGTCCCCTATGCCTCTTTGCACAGGCTGCACGACCTGCACCAGCCCGGGCTGTCACCCCAAACCCGTAATCACAGAGATCTGCAGCAGCACTAGGGGGATTGGTGCAGGGCGTAGCAGTGGCAGTAGCAACCTGCAGGAGCAGCATGGAGACAGGTGTAGAGGGTCGTAGCAGTGGAAATAGCAACCTGCAAGAGCAGCGGGGAGACAGGTGCGGAGTAGCGTAGCAGTCGCAATAGCAACCTGCAGGAGCAACACAGAGACTGGTGCGGAGGGGCGTAGCAGTGGCAGTAACAACTAGTAGCCGCAGCATGGGGACATGCGGAGCAGCAGTGGCAGCAACGGGACAGGTGCGGAGCAGCAGGGGCAGCATGGGGACAGGTGTGGAGCAGCAGGGGCAGCAGGGGGACAGGTGCGGAGCAGCAGTGGCAGCATGGGGACAGGTGCGGAGCAGCAGTGGCAGCATGGGGACAGGTGCGGAGCAGCAGTGGCAGCATGGGGACAGATGTGGAGCAGCAGGGGCAGCATGGGGACAGGTGCGGAGCAGCAGTGGCAGCATGGGGACAGGTGCGGAGCAGCAGGGGCAGCATGGGGACAGGTGCGAAGCATCAGGTGCAGCAGGGGGACAGGTGCGGAGCAGCAGTGGCAGCAGGGGGACAGGTGCGGAGCAGCAGTGGCAGCATGGGGACAGGTGCGGAGCAGCAGTGGCAGCATGGGGACAGGTGCGGAGCAGCAGGGGCAGCATGGGGACAGGTGCGGAGCAGCAGGGGCAGCAGGGGGACAGGTGCGGAGCAGCAGGGGCAGCAGGGGGACAGGTGCGGAGCAGCAGGGGCAGCAGGAGGACAGGTGCGGAGCAGCAGGGGCAGGAGGGGGACAGGTGCGGAGGAGCATAGCACTGGCAGCAACAATCAGTAGCAGCATCAGGGGCATATGTATGGAAGCAGCAACTAGCAGTAGCCTCAGTAGAAGGATGTGGTAGTGTAGGAGCAATACAGTCGTTCGGTATTGTTTTGCTATATCTGGAGGTACATTATGGTGTAATTTGTTTTTGCAATAAAAATGGTTTTTAAAATGAAATTTCATGCAAATGGCAGTTTTGTATTGGGCCCACCCAGACTCTAGTTTGGGACCATGTTTGGTCCAACTTGGGTTAAAGCTGAGAGTAGATTTGGTAAAAAAATGGTCCTCAAACTCATCTAAAGTTTGGCCAAACATAGCCCTAACTTCATCTTAGCAACTATACCAATATTGGTCCACACAATGAGACCAATAATGGCCCGATTTTGGACGGAAACACCAAAATTGGTCCAAATATTGACCAATCTAATAGGGGGGTTTTTGTGATGATGAAATTTATCATGGAAAAATGCATGAAAGATTGGAGGTGCGTGAGGGTCCAAACCTCAGCTGTGCGTCAAAAGGGTTGAGTGCATCTGCTGCGCCTCAAATATAACCCTCGTTTTGGCCCAGTGGGTAGCGGACACGCCTTGGCTCGGCCGTGATAGACGCAGTTAGCCTGCTGTGTCTTCAACTACCAAACTTCGAATTTTGGTACACTCGTGCTACTCTATTTATCGAAACGTCATGCACAATGTACGGTTCAGCTGTGGTACTGTAACGCCTGTGGGGCTTACACGTAAGGGTATGAGAGCATCCGCTGCGCCTCAAATACAACCCTCGTTTTGACCCAGTGGGTAGCGAGGTGTTACATTTGGTCTCAAAGCCTGGGGTTCGATTCATGGCTGGGTCACATTTGAAAGTGCCAGTCGCGAACCCAGTGAATGATCCGCCGCTGGCCTGGCCCACCAGCGAAGTCGCTGTAGAGCGAAATTCAGGTCCTTGCGAGGGCCGACTCCCTGCCCAACGAGGACGTTGGCTCCAGGGGGGGACGAGTGTAACGCCTGTGGGGCTTACACGTAAGGGTATGAGAGCATCCGCTGCGCCTCAAATACAACCCTCGTTTTGACCCAGTGGGTAGCGAGGTGTTACAGGTACCATTCATGGCGGCAGATCGTCAAAGTCGTGTGGCACTCACATGTATCCATCATATCCCATGATTCTCATCCCAACGCATCATCCTACTAGTAACAGCTTGACCAGCCGACTTCAAGCTTGGAATTTTGCAGTATAGCGATCTACCCTATCTTCTCACCCACACGTGGAACGCAATTCAATAGTGCTTGCCTGTCACATCCGTCTGCTCTAATGACGCTTGGTGCAGGGTTTGAGAGAGGGAGGGATTCATCTTTTCTTCCCCCTCAGAAGCAGGTGTTTCTCCCTCTTGATTTTTTTATCCTACTCCATTGCAGCCCCTCTCCTCCCTGCTTGTGCAGCCGTTGCAACTCCTGATGGCTGGACTTCCGGCAGGCATAGGGGGGGAAACATAATTTGTGGGTGGCTTCCTGCCATTGGTGGATGCAGCAATGCCAAGAGCTGCAGCTTGAGTGCCTAGGATTTTCACCATGAGTGAAAGTCGTCGTACTTAAATTACTTGCTGTGCCTAATGGAGCTCAGGAATGCTCATCCCCAACAATACGTACCCCTTATTTGACCCCCTCTCCCGTTTATGACTTTCTCAGTTGCACTATCATTATCAGTGGATAAATCAGACCACGTCATGCCTATGCATCATGCTTAATCACTGTAGCAGATTCAATATCCGAGTCACGGTTTCTAGGTACTTCACCATCGCATGTGCCCATACCGCAGTCGTGCAGCACAGGCTGATGATTGGGAGAGGAATAGAAGGGTGCGACACACAGGTGATGAGAGCCGAGTTTTCCGTCACGGTTTCTGGGTACTTCACCATCACATGTGTCTATTCCGCAATCGTGTGGAACAGAGTGTGAAGGGAGAGAAGAGAAGGGTTCGACACAACCCCTCCTTCTATCATTCTCTTTCCTCCTGCCCCCCTTTCCCCCACCATCTGCCACCAGTCCAAGTCCTGCAGGACTTGCAGCAAGCATGGGGGATGAAAATCTCTGGATGGGTGGCTGGGGGGGACTGCAGCGTTGCCTATGGTGTGGAGTGCGATGCGCAAGGCATGGTGACCAGCATGTGAGAGCACCAAACTCTGACTGGTCTTCCATCCCCCATGTGCATACCAACAATTGCTGGCCCTGACTTTGGTTCCTCTGTTTCCTCTCTCCACCATTCCGCGTGCTCTGTATTTGCAATCCCTTGTTACATTTCGGCATGTTAGCTCTTGCTGGCTATGCATTCCCTGGACGACTTTTTGTGTTTTAATTTTGTTCACGTGCACTCCCTTGCTTCTTGAACCGTTCATCCCACGGTCCTCCTCTCGTCCAAACTCGCTATCTGCTCTTGGAATCGTCCCTACCATGTCCCTCCACATGCTTGACTTACATGTTGCAACACAATATTAAAAAGCATACTCCCTTGGATCTCTGGAATGACCCCGCAACTAATGTGCTAATATTGCTAGTGTTTGAAATGGTTGAAGACATGGGATTTTATTGAGGGAGAGAGCGAGCAGGACAGTCACAGTTCTAGTAGTTCTATCATACCCAGGCCAGGGAACTAGGAGACATGCCGAGGGGCATGGCAACAGTTGCTACTGCAGCAGGTTCATGTGGGAAAGCAGTTCGATGGATTCTGTCAAGGGAGAAGTAGAGAAAATGGGCAAGTGGAAGGAGAGATGTGGAAACGTTCGCAGTGAGTGTTCTGGGTGTCTGCTGGACAGGTTGCTACGTGCTTGGAGTTCCCATGCAGAACTCTGTGTCGGAATGAGACTCACAATGCCAGTGCCATCTATTAAAAGCAAATCCGCTTCTTAAAAATGTCACCATAGAACGTTTCATCCATACGAAAACGTGGAAAGGGAAGTCAGACATTTGAAAGCGGTAAAAGGTGTTAATGCTGTCTAATCTACCTTTATCACCCCCACCTCCCCTTCCCCGTTTCCATCATTTTCCCTTGCTTGGCTCATATTGACATGCGTTCAATATGAACCTATAGTTATATGCTACCCTAATGCACCTCTCAGGTTTCTATCACCTCTATGCATGTAGGCACGGCTGGAAAACATGTGGGTTGCATGGACCTCTTCTCATTTGAATTGATTTGGGTTTAGGGTAATCCTCATATCATTTGTAATGCTCTCCACCCATTCCATTCCACTTTCCACCAGGTATCTGTATGAGAGTTTCTTAACCGGATCCATTCCTGACTCCATCAGTGCCTTGGACAGGCTAACCTATCTGTGAGTATGAGTGGTGGGAGCATGCACACGAGTGCGAGCATGTAGAGATGGGCATATGCAGAGATGAGCCTGAGAAAGGCATGAGCAATGACCTGTAACCAACTCGTGATGAGCCGTGGGTGACCATCATGGTATGATGGCCATCCAGTGGCCAGCTTGTCATGAGCCGAAGGTTGGTCCTGCCAGTTTTTTAGTGCCAGCGATCCTATCCATGAAGTGTAGCCGAGGGGAGCCACAAGCTCGTGTGGCTTGCCTGTTGCCGGCTTGTCAAGAGAAGAATGTCATGAAAAGGAGTTTTCGCATGCACCAATGAGTGTGAGATATGATAATATATGAGAGTAACTATGACAGATGAGAGCGTGCATCAGGATATGCCAAGGCGCTCACAATGCATCCAGTCTGCAACACAAATGAGTTATAGACAGTGGACCATTCAAGCCCATAGAGAACTTGCACTGGCCATAGGTAGGAGGTATATGAACTACCAAAGGCCGAACTTGGACTTCCTGGACTCAAAATTCTTCAGCCCGACCAATGGCCTGTGTAGAGTCCAAGATGTCTTTCGCATGGCTGGAAAGTATGTCATGTTAAGCTTTTTAGGCGCATGATTGACTGGACTCAGTCACGCTGGTTGAACAAAATTCTCCAACACAACTCAACTAACCATGCTATCCTGAAATCGCCTCTTGAAATATGCGGACCTTCCCACAATCTATGCCCTTTCCATATCCTCTCTGATTGTCTACTACCTTCTACCAATCCTTGGTTCATTTCTTCGTGCTTGAATCTCTCTCTTCCATGTATACACAAAAAAAAATCTTGTTAGCAATGCCTTGACTGTGTCTATTCTGCCTGTTACCTGTCATTTCTATCCATTGCAGTGATATTAGCTAGAACAACCTCGCTGGCCAACTCCCACCAGAAATTGGCAGTCTCACTCATCTTTCATACCTGTAAGGCATTCTAGCATGTTGAAGTATTGCAACGTCCATCATAGCAACCTAGGAGCATTTCATGAAGAGGAGGCATACAAGGTGTTCCAGTCGAGTACCATTGCCCAAGTTTGTTTAAAGCCACACGCATAAGGTACACAAGGACCGACCTGCGCACCAGGAATCTGTATGACGATGGCTTAACTGGATCCCTTCCAGATTCCATCAGTGCCTTGGACGGGCTAACCTATTTGTGAGTATGAGTGGTGGGAGCATGCACACATGAGTGTGATCATGTAGAGTCGGGCATATGCAGAGATGAGCCTGAGCAACGCATGAGCAATGGCCTGTAACCAATTCGTGATGAGCCGTGGGTGACCATCATGGTATGATGGCCATCCAGTGGCCAGCTTGTCGTGAGCCGAAGGTTGGTCCTGCCAGTTTTTTAGTGCCAGCGATCCTATCCATGAAGTGTAGCCGAGGGGAGCCAGAAGCTCGTGTGGCTTGCCTGTTGCCGGCTTGTCAAGAGAGGAATGTCATGAAAGGAGTTTCTGCATGCACCAATGAGTGTGAGATATGAGAATATATGAGAGTAACGATGACAGATAAGAGCGTGCATCAGGATATGGCAAGGCTCTCACAATGCATCCAGTCTGCAACACAAATGAGTCATAGACAGTGGACCATTTGAGCCCATAGAGAGAATTTGCACTGGCCATAGGTAGGAGGTTTGTGAACT